ATCTGTAATTCCTTATTAAGCAAATTGACAGAGAAAGATTACATTATTTCTCTTTTCCCTTCATTTTAATTTTTATTATTTCTGGTATGTTTATTAGGGTGAAGATTCTATTTCTGTTAGCTTATAAATATTGAAAGACAAAGCACTTTAGGGTTTGATTTATTTAACAGTTCTATAGCTATAAAATGCAAAAACTTTATAGTTTCACATCATAAGGAAAGAGATAAACTTAGGTTCAAATCTATCACCATTAATTGCAAGTAGCCTATATCTTAGTACCTTATTTGTAAAATAATAGATTTATATTAAGATTCTTTACCATTGAATGACAAAAACTAGTTCTACCAAAACTCAAGTCCATTTGCTACCCTTCCACACATCTTCAAATTTTACCCTAATTTAATCTTTTGAGAATATCATAATGAAAGCTTAGACTTTAATTGATAATCATAATGATAAAAAAAGAATGAACGATGCTAACTTTAAGTTGCTTAGTTTTTTGTTGGTGTGACTAATTTAAGGGGAGTCTTCAAATATATTTCATACATTCAGGACACCAATAAAAGTGGAAAAACTAAAGAGTTTATCAGATTACTTCTATTTCTAAATAGCAGACAAAAGCCACAATTTGTTTTTTTTATTATGACACTGGACATGGGCTTATTATATACTGTAAAACTTTAAAATGGGAGAAGAATCACATCTTCTTATGGCTTTTACATAATTTCAAAACTAAAATGATTTTTTAAATAAAATGGAGTCATCAAATAGGCAAAGTACAAAAGAGTTAAGACTACAGCAATAAAAGTTATTACCTGTTGAAAATTAAGGCTACTTTATACATCTTTATACACCATTATAAAATCCTCAGAAATGTAAATCACTTCCAAGGATGGACAAAAGAAGAAAGTTAAGAGAAAGAGGGGAGATTTCTTTATGAGTTAAATATCTACTTGAATTGATAATTCTCAGATAATTTAGCAATTCATAAAATTCAAAGTATATGAAGAAAAGAAAACCTTATAATTATAAAGGTCATCAAAAGAAGCACTGAATTTGAAAACACAGATGAATGAGGGATTTAAAATGGTGATCGTATTTAAATGACCCAATTAATGATTATAAGGAAAACTAAGCAGAAAAACATGAGATTGTGTCAGAAAAATACATACACAAACACAATTTTATAAAATATTTTAGTTTCTTTAAGTATAACAACTTGGGGAACTGCTATCTTCCAGTAATTTGCCAAAATAATAAAAACAAAGTGAAAGAGGAGAGGCACCGGATATATGTTCTCCAGGCCTTTTAGAAAACATGAAGTTGTTACTTTGGTCACATTCCTGGGAATATGCAAGAAGGATGATATTGTGGACATCAAGGGAATGGATA